TAGTATCTTTTATGAGACCCAGCAGACAGAGAGGTATAGATGATCTTAGGTCTTGCCATGGCATTGGTAATGAATGTGGCATTGGGTTAACATATTTATTTTTTTACAGGAAGGCCTAAAGTCTGGTTGCTCCCAGATACACCTCTCTGTTTTGAAGTGGAATAATCCAGCTATTCACCTTTACAAATCTCTAGGTGCGGAGAGCCTTACCGAGGACCCTGGTTACCAAGTGATGTCTTTCAATTTGGAGGCTCTAAAGAAGATGGCAAAAGAAGAGCAACCTCCATGTACACTCTGATACTGATCAGCAAGACAAAGACTAAATGCCCACCTACAACATAAAAACTGTATCTAGCTTCTAATATTCCATGGTCAGACTAAGACATCACAAACGCCTACTGCTAATCCAACGTGAACAGCTCTGTGTGCATTATCTATATAAATGGACTGGGTATCTATCCTAGGACAAAGACTGTACCCCACTTGTTATCTGCAAAATGGTTAAATGATGCTCTACACCCGTTCTCCATCGCATGTGGTCAAACACCCTATAACCACCCACTCAATGTTCAGGTTAACATTTTGCACCACAACTGGGGAGATGTAATTAGTAAAACTATTTTGTGCTACAGTTTCTCTCTCTTTCCAATACATTGCCTATTTTATTTTGGGGGTTTATAAAATCACACAGTTTGCCTGGAATCGTTGAATTTTATTTTCTTACTGTTTCAGTATGGTCAGGCAAAGAATGAAGAATACAGTCTCACCTTTCGTCATTTCCGTAAAATTTCTATTAGGGGCTGAGTTGCGTACATAAACTAAGGAATAATTTCTGGAGTGAGTGGCTGTGGCTTAGGAGGCAGGTTTATTAAGCCCCTCTTCTTTGATCTTCTACTGATTAATCTTTGGATCCACCATCTATAGAACTTTGTTCCAGAACCCTACATTATTCACACACACACTGTCTGGTAGCCGGCAGCCTACTCCAAGGCTATAATGAAGGTAAAATAAAGATTATTAAGGCTTTTTGCTTGTCCTCTGAGAGTAAGGTTCAATGCAGATAACAACGTGCTGTGTGAAGGCTGTAAATAAAGATCAGAAAAGTAGAATAAACTGAGACACAGGAGAGGGCCTGTTATAGACGGATAGACGGAAGTAATAGCACATTCACGGTGAAAGTATTCTATAACCCTGCTTTGATTCAATGCTTCATAGAGAGGAGATCTATTAATTGGTATACAAGTTCAAAGAGCACTCGGTTCTCATGGAAGATCTTGGATTTATAAACGGATGTTTACCAAACAATACACTACGTTTCCTTTTAGTATATCTGACTGGCAGTTCTGTTCAGTCCTAGTTGTGATCCAGCCAGGAATCAAGATTAAAGGGACACTATAGTCACCTGAACAACTTCAGCTTAATGAGGTTGTTCAGATGAGAACTATAGCTCCCTGCAGCCTTTCTCATGTAAACACGATTTTCTGAGAAAATACAGTGTTTACATTGAAAGCTAGGAACACCTCCAGTTGCAGTCACTCAGAGTGAACCAGAGGGACCTCGAAGTTGAAGGAGGCATAAAATGCCTCCATCCACTCATATCTGCTGTCAGCAGAGCACAGGGCAGCACTGTGCACAGCATCCTGTGATTCAGTATCTCCCCCCCCCCACCCCCCTTGCATGCAGACACTGAACTTTCCTCATAGAGATTCATTGATTCAATCCATCTCTATGAGGAGATGCGCATTGGCCAGGGCTGTGTTTGAATCATGCTGGGTCTGCCCCTGATCTGCCTCCTTGTCAGTCTCAGCCAATCCTATGGGGAAGCATTGTGATTGGATCAGGCTACCACATGTCAGAAGACTGCTTGTTTTTCTGAGTCTAACAGCATGCAGAGTTACAGCTTCAGGCTTGAATACAGTAAGATTTTTACTATATTTATGAAGGCAGGGGGCTAGATGGTGGTGTTAACACTATAGGGTCAGGAATACATGTTTGTGTTCCTGACCCTACAGTGATCCTTTAAATTTTGATCCAGAATACATGAAACATATAGTCTAGGTCGATGTTTGAGAACTTGCAGCATAGATCGCAACAGAAGGCCTTCGATGGGCAGTCTTCAGTCCAGAAAAAAAGCAGGTACCGTGCCGTGACATCAGCGCCATGACATCAGCTGGTGAAGCCAACAAAGATATCAGAAAGCGGATCAATTAAACGCTATATCTTTCCCTTCCAGCACCCTAATTCCTCTCCTGCAACTGTCCTCAAAACATAACACTAAACCCTCAATGAACACTATCCTAGCAACCTACATTTCTACCCTACTCTCACATTTTGTGTCACTATACCCCACTCCCTCTAACATGTAAACTCACTGAGCAGGCCCTCAATCCCTCTGTTACTGTGTCACTATACCCCACTCCATCTAACATGTAAACTCACTGAGCAGGCCCTCAATTCCTCTGTTACTGTGTCACTATACCCCACTCCCTCTAACATGTAAACTCACTGAGCAGGCCCCTCAATCCCTCTGTTACTGTGTCACTATACCCCACTTCCTCTAGCATGTAAACTCACTGAGCAGGCCCTCAATCCCTCTGTTACTGTCACTATACCCCACTCCCTCTAGCATGTAAACTGACTGAGCAGGGCCCTCAATCCCTCTGTTACTGTGTCACTATACCCCACTCCCTCAATCCCTCTGTTACTGTGTCACTATACCCCACTGCCTCAATCCCTCTGTTACTGTGTCACTATACCCCACTACCTCTAACATGTAACCTCACTGAGCAGGACCTCAATCTTTGTTACTGTGTCACTATACCCCACTCCCTCTAACATGTAAACTCACTGAGCAGGACCTCAATCCCTCTGTTACTGTGTCACTATACCCCACTCCCTCTAACATGTAAACTCACTGAGCAGGCCCTCAATCCCTCTGTTACTGTCACTATACCCCACTCCCTCTAACATGGAAACTCACTGAGCAGGCCCTCAATCCCTCTGTTACTGTGTCACTATACCCCACTCCCTCTAACATGTAAACTCACTGAGCCGGGCCCTCAATCCCTCTGTTACTGTGTCACTATACCCCACTCCCTCTAACATGTAAACTCACTGAGCAGGCCCTCAATCCCTCTGTTACTGTGTCACTATACCCCACTCCCTCTAACATGTAAACTCACCGAGCAGGGCCCTCAATCCCTCTGTTACTGTGTCACTATACCCCACTCCCTCTAACATGTAAACTCACTGAGCAGGGCCCTCAATCCCTCTGTTACTGTGTCACTATACCCCACTCCCTCTAACATATAAGCTCACTGAGCAGGGCCTCAATCCCTCTGTTACTGTGTCACTATACCCCACTCCCTCTAACATGTAAACTCACTGAGCAGGCCCCTCAATCCCTCTGTTACTGTGTCACTATACCCCACTCCCTCTAACATGTAAACTCACTGAGCAGGCCCTCAATCCCTCTGTTACTGTGTCACTATACCCCACCCCCTCTAACATGTAAACTCACTGAGCAGGGCCCTCAATCCCTCTGTTACTGTCACTATACCCCACTCCCTCTAACATGTAAACTCACTGAGCAGGGCCCTCAATCCCTCTGTTACTGTGTCACTATACCCCACTCCCTCTAACATGTAAGTTCACTGAGCAGGGCCTCAATCCCTCTATTACTGTGTCACTATACCCCACTCCCTATAACATGTAAACTCACTGAGCAGG